GGAGTTTCGAATCATTTTATCTTATTTCAAAACAGCTATATAGTATGAGTATATATGAAGAAAAATCTTGTAAATTAAAAATAATATATTAAAACAATACTTTTTGGTCTAAAACTTCTCAGCACAATAAAAACTTTGTGCAACTGATTTAATATTAATTTTAATAATTATGTAATTATGTCATTTGTGTATAATATCCAAAAAACGAAGAATATTTGTGTTAAACCAGGCCTGATGTTTCTTTTTGACATATCAAAGACTTTCAGGGGATGCCTAGTATATACCACTTTGGAGAAAACACCATGTTGATTCAATGTATGCACAGTCCGGGAAATATGGATGTATGTTATCACAAAGGGTCTGGAATTATTTTAAGTCATCAGTGTTGTTTAGCTTTTTGACATTTGTTTCTTGAGTTGGTCAAGCGCGGTTGTTACTTTCTGGACTACGGATATAAAAGCTAACCTTGCATCATATTAACCTATGATTCATCCAACACTCAACAATGGAGAAGAAACTATTCATTTTTACATCCTTCCTCGAGGAAGAAATCACAATAACATAGTCGATGAGATGATAGTGATTTGTTCAGGGATACCTCCGGCTACTTTTTGGTGGTTAAGAATCTAGAAGACAGTGTAGCAAATCAAAAGTGCATTGCGATTAAAAAAGGATAGCATTACATGACCATTTCACTTGGCCTTGTCAGCACCATGCTTACAGATTACACTATTCCATACTAACGTATTACAACCTACACGTACATTGATGTCACCCAAGAAAAGAAGTTTATCATTAATGGAAGTAGTTATCAACTGGTTTTGTTCTTGTGCAGTTTTGTATGCCCAATCATTTGCACCTAATGACAGGGAAAAAAGCGAGTAAGCACTTTATTTTAGGTCACAGTTTCTAAACCGATCCCCCTTCATAGGAAAGTAGTGCCATCGTAAATACGGTTTCTTTGTTATAAAAGGAGGACACCAGTTCGCAGATGTTGTGCAAAACAGCCATCTAACCATCAACACCCAAATGCAAAGTTCATTCTAGGAACCTCCTTTTATATATATATATATATATATATATATATATAGAGAGAGAGAGAGAGAGAGGGAGAGAGAAAGAGGACAGGAATCTAACAAATTGATACGATAAAGAATAAGTGGGAAAACAGATTTTAATTTTACATATTTCACTTTATTAAAGCTTCGTCAGAGATCAAGGTAGAAATGATAAAATTGATGAAACGCAAAAAGATGTAGATCAATGATGTATTGTGTTTGGCTATTTCTTATTGTTTAGATACGTGTCATGTATAAAGAAGTAATGGATAATATTCAACTAACGTTTACACACTTTAGCATCCAGAATGTTTTTCTTACAATTATTTGTATATTATCTCTAACGCCGATCCTCTCGCACGGTGACAATTGTAACGCGATCTCTGGTCAAGGCGTCCATGTGACGCCGTGCCTAACAACACTGGACCGACGTCATCTTCAAGACCGGCCGTTGGTCCTGTATGGTCCAGTATTACATGTTAGACTTAAGTGTCCGGTTTCAGATTTCGATTCGATTCCATTCACCAGCCACTTTAGGATTTTTGATCTTGGCGAGTAGTTATCGGGTCGTAGAATTTCGAATACCCTCTTTTAGTCTACCTGTAAGCTTGTTGGGTGAGAATTGGGTTAACAGTAAATAAATATAGCCAAGTCGGTCCGATTTTAGAGGGACAAAAGATTTTTTTTATATATATAACATAAACAATACATGTAACAATACAATTCTCGTGGCAAACAGTTGAATGTCTCTTGTATATGAACGATGAATAACAAAACAAAAAATACTTCCTGTAATTTCATTAAAAGAGAGAGTCTGTTCTTAGCGCTACTACTACAACCGTCAATGTTCTCGTCCTTAGCAGTAGTAATAGTAGAAGTAATATTAGTGCTAGTAAGAGCAGCGGTACTTATATGAACAAAACATGTTAGCGGACGATTCGTTCCAATCTCTGACGTCACTTCCTCTCCTAGAGTCTCCAACTCGACTCTACACTGTCTCTAACCCAGCTCTGTTCAACTCTACTCTACTCACCTTCCGGTTGGCTTGCCTCTTTATATAGAGAACTGGTGACATATTTGTTTTCTAGTGCGAACGTAATGACATACTTTTATTAGGAACGGGATCGACCCATTTCTCGACACATTAAATTAAAAACTTCACACTCGTTTCTTCTTTCAGTACCCTGACAGTATTGTCATAGTTTTAAGTTAATCTATTAATAACACACTCTTCTTTCTTCCTCCCCCGTCCTGGTTAGCTCTTTCTTTCTTCTTCCACTTCGTCCCTCACCTGATTTACAATGTGTCTTCCTTTTTTCTTCTTTTCTCTTCCTGTCTAAAAAATATTTAAGAGGTCAAATAGTCTGGCCTCTTGATTGAGTACACTTGAACCTAAATCAACTATTAAAGATAGTTTTAAAACAAACTTATTCCTACTTTACATTTCCAAGTTAGACTTTCTATCATCCTTCCATTACCTCTGTCACCTTATATCAAGCTAAAGAAACTTTTATCAAAAATAAAAGAAGCATAATTCTTTTGTAACTAGAGATGTAACCTGATGAACCAGGAAAAAATACATTTTCTGGGAAAAGAAATCATATTCATGGAACCTTAAGTTTGTCTCTTTCTTAATTATTTAATTAATACACACACACACACGCGCACACACACACACGCACACACACACACACACACACATATATATATATATATATATACATAAAATGTGATAGAAATATAGTTTTTGATATGATGTATTTATGGGTAAAAGTGTTCAGTATCAGGGATAGAGCATATGTAAATATAAAAGTAAAGACTGAGTTTAACACCTAGCGAGTACCGTCTGTTTCATATTTGAACGAAATATTCAGACCATGTGTGTTGTGTTTTGGCTCCGCTAAAAATGTAAAATGTACCCCACCTCAGAACAAATGAAAAGGGAAGAAGCACAAATCTAGTTCACTCGTCAAGTAGGCAGGGAAAGGGATGGTGAAATAACTGGCAAATTCGGAATAGGAGCCTGCAAAGAACGCGGAAAATAATGGATCCAATGGTCACGGCGAATGACCAGAAAATAGCCAACACCTGGTCCTAAAAATATCCAAGACGAATATGGACATCGAGAAACCCAAGAGGAGAAATGAAAAACCAAATGGACAACTATCAACAAGAGATTCAGGAATGAAGTTATACACTGCAAAGCCTAAGTGCCAACTGCGGAATCGATCGCCTACTTGTTATATGTAAACTTAGAATTAATCTACGGAACCTGAAGAAGCCTAACTCAGCACACAAATTACAATACAACAGGCTCAATACAACGACCCAAGCCTGAGGGATAAATATATGGATAGTGGCACGGAATATAAAAGAAGATTTGTACATCTTGACCTATGGTGCATTATGGGTAGTAAACTCTTACATTGTACTGATGATTATCGTTTGGGTGGCAACGGTTAAGAGTTAAATTATTAGAAATTTAATTCAGTAGAAATATTTGTAGATCCCAATGCCATTATTTTGTATATATTTTTTAGTCTTTATTAATGTTTTACTCATTAATTATTATTGATACTTAACTATCTGCTGTGATTATTACAAAATAATTGCCCATTTTAACAAAAGGTTTTTGACATGAAAGAAATATTGGCCGCTTTGTCAAACGATTTCAGCCTTTTTTCTCAAAAGTTATGTATGCCCTCGCTTTTAATTTAATATTCTTTATTTTATTTTTTTTCTTGATCAACTGCGACATCTCCGTTCATTTCATTTCTATCATTTTAATGGTGCTTGTACTAATCGTGATAACCCAGTTAATTTTGATCGGTTTCGTATCATTTGTCTGATACCTTCCGTTTTTCTAACTTCTTGTCGGGTAAGTTGCACGTGTCCTGGTAGATCTGGTAGTTCTCTCTTCCTATTCCTTAATGAAGTAGAGGCAGTTGGAATTGATACGTCCCCAGCCTCCCCCTACAAAAAAAAAGAAGTGGGCAGTAATATTGTACTGGTCAACCCCCACATGACTATCAACTATACAGTGCGAAGATCTGCAATTTGGACTTAAAAATTAAATATTTTATTACTTTTGTTTTAATTGAAGTAGATAGGCCCTTCTATCGCTCGTTCCATTCTCCTCTCTCTTTTCTTGATCAGAAGTAGAGGCTCTTCTCTTTTTTACCTGTTTAGGAAGGGATTCCTTTCATTTTCTCTGGCCTTAATAGTGATGCTGTTTTATTTTCTTGTGATGTGTGTGGTTGGCAGCAACGTCTCTTTATTCTGAAGGTAACTGGTTAACAGATTTCTGTTTTTTCTTCTCGATTGGTAGTTGGAACCCCGAACGCTTGCGTAGTGTCTTGAGAAGCTTCTTTGATCAACAGTTGCATAATATCGTTTTTTTTTTCAGCGCCATGTCGCGCCTGGATGGATGTCCCTGCAAGCACCTTCGGTGTGCAACCCGAGGCTACACTATGTTGCAGTCGTCACTACTTTCCTTCTGCCATGTTACATTTGATGACTGACAGCTCCTACTACCATATGCCTTTTCTAACCAAAATAACACATCATGACTACAAATAACCAAAGTCATAAACCTAAACCAGATCAACAAAATCACCTAACCCCATAAACTGTCCTTCCCCAAAATTCGTGGTATTTGTAGCGACTTCTGCAGTGTGGAATCATTTATTTGACAGAAACGCTTCTCTTCTCGATCTCTTTTTTCCTCTATCCCTGACTTTTGTCACGCGACGCAGCTCTGCTCCCTTGGCAAATCTGATCATGAAGCAGTATCTGTAATCCTTTCTTTCCGCTCTCCCACCAGACATGAACCCACTACATTGGTTCTCAATTGCTTGTTCGGCCGCCATAGCCGAAAGGAATCACTTTTGCCTACTGTACCAGAGGAATATGTCCGATTGCAACAGACGGAAGACGGCAAACATGACTTCTCTCCAAAAACAGCAATCACCAAAGCAGCAATCACCACCGCAGGAGCGACCAGAAAAACAAAAGCAGCATAAGGAGGTGCATCGGAAAGAAGCACCACACCGTTAGCAAAAGTTTAAATTACAAAGCAACAACAACAAAGAAAGCAGCAGCAACAGGACACACCGATGGAGGTTGACAAAATACGTACACCTCGTGCTTCATCTTTGAAGAGGACCAGAGAGCAGGTTTACCAAGGAGCCTGGTCTTGACGACGTGGAGTTTCATAGCTATTTGGCTGACTTTCCTCGTCTTTCGCCGACTGAAGCAGCTAGCTGCGAGGGGGAGTTCACGGAAGTCGAAGTCTATGCACACGACTGGTTCACCAGGAGTGTGATCACGCTTTTGAAAGAAGGCTAGGGTGTTGGGCGAAATTTATATAATTATAGGTCCATAACTCTGCTAAATACAGTGTTAAAGATTTTGGCCAAGATCCTGACGGTGCGTTTGCAGTCAGTTGCCGAGTCTCTGTTGGGTTCTGAGCAGAATCGCGCTGTGAAGGGATGAGCAATTCAGAGCAACCTGCATCTGATCCGCACGATCATATAAGACGATATATAAGACAACGACGAAGCCGCGCTGATCAATTTAGTTCAGTCCAAGTCTTTTGATAGGATTTATTATCGCTACATGGCTGCTTTCTTGCAGGCCGCCTAATTCGAATCCTTCTGCTGCTGCATTAGCCTACTGTATCACTCCCCAAGTGCTGTGATACAGGTGAACGGGAAGCTGTCGGGCGCTTTTGCACTGTCTCGGTCGGTTCGTCTCCCCTACTTTACGCCTTGACGTTGGAGCTTCACCGGCTAAGGGGCAGGTACATAGATAGATGCATAGTGACAGAATAGATAGATAGATAGATAGATAGATAGGAACACAGGAGAGCACCGAAAGATATATAGAGTGACAAATAGATTGTGACAGACCGAAAAGTTAGATAGATACCTAGGAATAGACTGAAATATATATATAAATAGACATATTGGAGTCGACCGAAAAATTAGATAGTTATATATATATATAGCTAGAGTGATATAGATAGATAAATAGGAAATCTCCGAAAATATAGATAGACTGATAGATAGATAAATAATAGACACGAACTGACCAAATATATATATATATATATATATATATATATATATATATATATATATATATATTGATTGATTGTTATATAGATATATCGATAGTTATGAACAGAATGACTATTTAGATCGATGGAGACAGTCTAACGATAGGAACAGGAAAAATTATATATATATATATATATATATATATATATATATATATATATACACACACACAAGCAGGCTTTGCCCCCTCCGTATCGCTTCGTAAAATAAGATATAATCACTACTTGAAATCTTTGAAACAAAAATTTTAAATGAATATTTCATTCATGAATTGGCTTTTTATACTTAATGAAAGTTTTACAAATAGATGCTAATTTGTTGAAGATCAAGTAAAATGCAAATTTCATACATTTTTCTGTCGTAATTTACGAAAATCTGAAAATCAAAACAATCTTCGAATAAAAGAATAGTCATGAAGGACAGTTACTTAATGGGAAAAAAACTTTTTTTTAAAGTCAATATGCAAATTAGTAGATAATATATGATACAGATATTTAGCTTTTTGTGGGTAAATGACACTCTCGAGTGGTTTGTAAGAAATTATTTATCATCTCTCTTCAAAGGACAGAGTCGCAACTCAGAAGATATAATATTGTGAGCTGCTCAGCTCTGGGGAAAAATTGCCCGTGGTCGCGCCCTCTCATTGCACCAGAGAGAGGGATCGGTGCTCGCACCGAGGCCAGCACAGCCGACGGTTGCAGGTCTGCGGGCAATTTTTGTCCCTTGCCCGGGTGTACGCGCTTGGGAACCCACCTTAAAAAAAGATCTTGTGTCACAACTCGTCTTAGTAAATAGCTAGAGGGTAAATGGCACTCTTGAGTAGTTTGTAAAACCTATTTATCTTATCTCAGTTGCGTCTCTTACTTTTGGCAGAGTGCGCTCAAGGACGGCTCAGTCAATGGACAGAGTCGGAACTGAGAGGTGCCGGCCCTGGAGAACAGCTGCACTAGAGAGAGGGATCAGTGCACGCACCGATACCAGCGCAACCGACGGTTGCATGGGCTGCGGGCAATTTTTGTTCCTAGTCCGGGTGTACACGAACAAGCTCCCCACATTGAACCTAGCTTGTATCGCAACGCGAGTTCGTTGGGGTCGAGTAAATACCAAATTACTGTAAAGTAGTTTGTAACGTTTATTTATCATATCTTAGTTGCGTCTTTGTCTTTGGGCAGAGTGCGCTCAGGGTCGGCTCCGTCGAAGGACAGACCCACAAGTGAGAAAAAACATACTGAGAGGTGACCAACGGTGGGAAACAGCTACCTGAGGCCACGCCCTCTATTTGCAGCAGAGACGGATCGGTGCTCGTACCGATGCTAGCGTAACCAACGGTCGCGAGGACACGGGGAATTTCTGTTCCTAACCCAGTTGTACGCGCTCGGGCTCCCCACATTAACCGATCTTGTGTTACAACGCAACTACGTGGGTGGTCGCGTAAATACCAAATTATTATAAAGTAGTTTGTAACACGTTTATTTATCATCTCTCAGTTGCGTCCCTCTCTTAGGGCAGAGTTGCGGCTCCTTCAGAAGACAGAGGTGCAACTGAGAAAAATCCCACTCTAAGGTGCCCACCTCTGTAGAGTAGATGCCCGAGGCTCACCCTCTTATTGCACTAAAAGAGGGATCGGTGCTCGCACAGAGGCCTTCGCAACCGACGGTTGCGGAGTCTCGAACAATTTTTGTCCTTAGCCCGGTTGTACGCGCTTGGGCTTCCCACGTTAAACCGACCCTGTGTGACAACCTGACTCCGTTGATGGTCAAGTAAATACCTACTATAAAGTAGAGCTGGGGCTTTTTAAGCTCAGAATTCGTGGGTGAAATGAGCTCCAATTTCACATTTATTCATATAGATTCCATAATACAGGTTTTTCAGAAGGGTTTTAAATAAACTGGAAAACGAACCCTATCTGACTTTACAAAACCTAGCAGAAGATTATCAGATTTTTATAAATTTTCGACAAGATGCCAAAGATATTAAAATATGTGGTGTGTCGCTCATTAACAAGTTCGAGAAGAAAATAAAGAAGAAAACATTACTCCTAACTCCTGTTACGCATGTGGAGAGTTACATTGGTATAAGGAAGGTCCATACAAAAATAATGTTTTCGGTGCGGAAAAAGGGACGTAAGAAAATCCACTGTAAGACCCTCCCTGTAAAAAGAGTGAGGAATTACGTTAAAGTGGCTAATATGAATGAATGAATCTGCCGGTTGAAATATAAGGAAATTTGTGCAAAAAATATCAAATTGAAATTGAATAGCGTATCCGAATTAAGCATAATAAATGTATATACATGGAGAAAAATGGGTAAACAAACGTTGATGGTTACCAAGAAAATGACTCGTAGGACAGAAAATAAAATTCGAAGGGAATTCATAACAAATGTGACGTTAAACAACAAAACCGTTTAAATTAAGACTAATGAAAAATACAAATAACCTTTTTGGAAAAGACTGGATGGAGCACTTTGGTGTATGCAACAGTCCGATCAGTTCGTTTTGCCAAGAAGTTAAAGGTTTTACCAACTAAGTAGAAAGTTTGAAGAAAGAGTTAACAATTGAATTCCCAGAGGTATTTTCTGGTGGGTTGGGTAGGTGCAACAAAATGAAAGCTTATTTCAAGCTAAAGGAAAACGTACAACCGATTTTCAAAAAGAAAAGCAATGTATCCTTTGCATCGTTAAAACAGATCGATGACGAGCTTGACAGACTCGAAAAATGGATGTTTTATTTGTTGAATATAGCGATTAGTCTTTACTAACGGTATATATAAAGAAAAATTCTAAAGAGATACGTGTCTATGCGGATTTCTTCACGGGCTTAAACGATGCCTTCAAAAGATATCCTTACCCACTTCCGGGGATGGAAGAGGTTGTTGCGCAACTTAGCGGCGGTCGGATATTTTCAAAAATTTAACTAAGTAACGCGTATCTGCAGATTCAAGCGGACACTAAATGTTCAAAATTAATTACGATAAACACACATCGGGGAATATATAAATTCAATCGTTTGGCTTTCAGAATCAAGGTCGCTCCAGTTATTTTTCAGTAAGTAATGGATACGATGCTTAGTGGACTTAAATTTGTAGTTGCTTATCTAAACTATATTTTGTTGAAAAGCAGAAACCCAGAAGGAAAAAAATGTTTTTGAGGTTTTCAGGAGTCAGGACTATGAATTCAATTGGAAAGACGAAAAGTGAATTTTTTATGGATAAAATCAAATATTTGGAACAAATAATTGACAAAAATGACAGAAGACCAGATCCATCACGGGCCAGTGCTATAAAAGATATGTCGGCTCCTGAAAATGTCAGTTCTCTACAAAGTTTCCTGGGTCTGGTAAATTATTATAATGTATTTGTGCCAAACATGCATTGATTGCGAGCTCCGTTAAATGAACTATTAAAAAAAGTTTCTAAATGGGTTTTTACGACGGAGTGCCAGGAGGCATTTCGAAAAATTAAAGAAATACTAACGTCGGACTTGTTCTTGACACATTACGATTAAAAAAAATAATCATAGTAAGCAATGCGAGTGCGTATGGAATAGGAGCCTGAATTATGCATAAACTATGGACATGGACTCTGCAGAGTAAATCTAAGAAGGATGGTGTTATACTGTACATATGGACTATAATGCGTATGTCCAAATCCTCATACAATATTTTGAATTATAATATTTTAATTTAGTTTTTTTAATATATAAATCTTTGCTGTTACAAGCATAGCTGACTTATTTTTTTGCTCCCAAATCTCCCTATATAAAGGGCTCCAAAATTTTACGTTTTTGCTTATTACTTTGAAGTACTAATATATTTTCGAATAATATGTGGACATGAGTTCCTTTACATGCTCTGAGATTGAACTATGCCCATTCAAATGAAACTTAAGCCGTCATGGCAAAGTTATTGTAAAACCAACATAAGTATTAATAT